CTCCTGGGTTCAAGCGATTCTCCTGTCTCAGCCTCCCAAGTAGCTAGGATTACAGGCATGTGCCACCACATCCGGCTAATTTTTTGTATTTTTAGTAGAGACAGGGTTTCACCATGTTGGCCAGGATGGTCTAGATCTCTTCACCTCGTGATCCACCCGCCTCAGCCTCCTAAAGTGCTGGGATTACAGGCGTGAGCCACAGCGCACAGCCTCGAGCTTGTGGTCTTAACTCAGTATGGGTGAACCGTATGAGGTGGCTACCAAAAAACAAACAGGCTGGGCATGGTGGCTCACGCCTGTAATCCCAGCACTTTGGGAGGCCAAGGCGGGTGGATCGCCTGAGGTCTGGAGTTCAAGACCAGCCTGGTCAACATGGTGAAACCCCATCTCTACTAAATATACAAAAAGTAGCCGGGTGTGGTGGTACACACCTGTAGTCCCAGCTACTCAGGGCGCTGAGGCAGGAGAATCACTTGAACCCGGAAGGCAGAGGTTGCAGTGAACCCAGATTGTGCCATTGCACTCCAGCCTGGGCAACAAAGTGAGACTCTGTCTCAAAAGCAAAAAACAAAACAAAACAAAAAAAAACTGATGTAATCTGAGCCTATGTAGAAAGAAGTTCAGAGTCAGAGGAGGGAGGCTGGCCAGCTCATTTGTACCCTGCACCAGCTCTCCCGGAAAAAACTAATCATAACTGGGCACCACAAACTGAAACCCATTGAGGGTAACATGATCTTAGTGGGTAGAATTGAAAAATGCAGGGGATGAACCCATGAAGGTATGAGTCCTGTAGAGAAGCAGATTTGAAGGATGCAGATGGTGACGTTTGGCAGATGGGCCAATGAGGTCAATGTGGTCCCAAGGACAGAGCTAAGATGAAATGTGAACACTATGGAGGGCAGATTTCTGCTCTAGAACCAAACATAATTGGTTACCAGGGAAGGCAGTGGAGCTTATTAAGCATATGACAGAAATGCTGAGTTGAGGGTGGGGTCACTTCAGTCCTCTTGAGACCCGAGATGCCAGCAAACAGTTAAGCACATTCTGTGTATGCCCAGCACTGAGCCCAAGTGAGCCAGAAGGACAAGATTCATGACTCTAAGGACCCACATAACCCCAAAGTTTTGGCATCAAAAACGAGAACTTTTTTTCAGTTCACAGGTGGGCTCTTGGATGCTTGCCTCTAGAACCTGATGTTGCACGCCCTCTGCTGGTCATCCCTAACATTGCTCTCTCATCCCAAGGACAAAAAATCACTCCTCTGAACCCTTTTGGGGCTGGTCAGCTTAGGTTGACTAACATTCTGAACACGCAGGCAGACGCCGAATATCAGAGTCAGATCCCTGGTAGTGTTCAGTTAGTTCAGTATAGGATCAGAACTGAATCTGAAGATGAGTTCAAGTATTCGTATCAAAACTAGGGCTTGGTAATGTCTAGGAGAAGGGTTTAGGCAGAGGCTGAATTTGGGGAATTGTCTCTACCAGGACAATAACCAGGTTGTGTCTCAGGCTGAAGTCATAGTTGGGACTCAGTGTGGGACCAAAGTCTGGGCCTGGGCGTCAGCATGAAGCATGTATCAGGTGAGACACTCAGAGTCTGATCACAGGAGGAAGGCCATCTGCAGCCAAGGTAATGGGTCAATGTGGCATTCCTACACCCAGGAAAAAGCATCAGGTAATGAGTACCCAGTCACTGGAGAACTCAAGAACAAGCAGGGAGACTGCCCAGGAGAGAGAGATGAGGAACAGTGGACAGAAGGAGGTAGTCACTCTTTTTTTTTTTTTTTTTTTTTTTTTTTTTTTTTTTTTTTTTGAGAGGGAGTCTCTAGCCTGTTGCCCAGGCTGTAGTGCAGTGGCACAATCTCAGCTTACTGCAACCTCCACCTCCTGGATTCAAGCAATTCTCCTGCCTCAGCCTCCCAAGTAGCTGAGATTACAAGCATGCACCACCAAGCCTGGCTAATTTTTTTTTTTGTATTTTAGTAGAGATGGGGGTAATCACTAATCTGTAAGACCCTCCCAACTTTAAGGATGGTGACAGGTAGGCCAAGAAGCCCCCTTTTCCTCAGTATTCTAGTATCCCAGTATTCTAGTTGTGGATTCCTATTAAAACCCCCGCTCCTGCTCCCACACACACACTAGTACTACCACATACAAATCATAGGTACAACCGGGGGAGAGAGCGGCCCAAAGGCTAGTTCTGTCATTGCAGAGAGCTGGCAGTTGTGGGGGTAGTCTTCCTTTCCCCCAGGATTCTCTGTTTCTACTGGCAACAGGGCCTGGCAGCCTCCCACACCCAGATCTTAGCAACCATGGGAACCCCTGGCAACCGCTACCATGGTGACAAGACAGGGAACTGAGAACAAGCTGGGGGGCACTTCCTCTGCAGCCTTCGGGATGTGAGCAGGATAGGGGCTCCCTTCTCTATGCAGTCTGGGAGGGAACATGTGCCTCTGTCTAAAACACCTCCTCACTGGCACCCACCCGTACCCCTGCCCACAGATTCCGGTTCCCTCAGGGTGAGGAAATAAGGGACACCTAGGGTTATGACGTCTCCAAGGGGAGGGAGGGCGAGTGGGGGCGTTTGGGACTGGCATGATCGCAGATGTGTGCATACGCTGGCAGACATGGTGTCAGCTTGTCAACAGCCACATACCTCATCCACTCTGTCATGTAGAGACATGCCCCCATAGTCATTTACTCACACATGTACACTGGCCCAAAATCATATACCTACAACATGTAACAGAATTGGGCACACCACCATACAAAAATAACTACACAGATCCACTCTCATAAATCACATTACCAGTACCACACTACAAATAACTCCCAATCAGACGCAGATTTATAGATGCACTCGCAGTCCCAGCATTTGTGAACATGAAAAGTAATGGTTAACTTGGTTAACTCAACCAAGTTAACCATTGGTTGGGTATAAACTACATGCCCAGCTCAAAACTAACTGCACTACCTGCATTACCTTAATTAACCCTCTCAACAACCCCCTGAGGCACTGATTCCCATTTGCAAAGAAGGAGATGAGGTGTGAGTGTGGTCTGTAAGCTCACAGCGTCCATACACTCTAGGACCACACTGTCATGGTCCATGCCACATCGAGCACCACAAACACCTGATGCCCAGGACAATGGGACCGAGGGGAGGAAACTTGGACTAGGCAGACAACAGAGTCCATGCCCTCAACACCTGAAGGCACAGTCCCACACCCTCGAAGGTCCAAGCCTACACTTTAGCATTAGCAGGGGCCAGGTAAAGGCTGGTGACTAAACTCTCTGCCTCCGTGTTGGCACAGGCAAGGCTGGGGGAGGCAAAAAAGACAACTGGAATAGGAAGAAGTAGAGCCACCCACAGCCTGGGCCCCACAAGTCTGGAGGTGGGAGACTGAGAGCCCCCGGATCTGAGGAGCCAGCAGGGGTGCAGTGCCCCTCATCCCACCTCACCCATCTCTGTCACACTAGTCCATCCCTCCTTCCTCCCCTCCCTCTTCCTCATTCCTCCCTACCCCATCTCTGTGTCTCATACTTTACTTGCTCACCCCTTCTTTCCTCATCCCTCACCCTGCCTCCCCACCCCTCCTCAGCCCTTCTTTCCTCTCCCCTCCTTACTCCCACCCTATCTCTCCTCTGCCCCAATCCCCTCCCTTCCCCATCTCCCTCACCCATCTTCCCCTCCTCTCTCCATCCCCCCCTCCCCTCTCTCAACCCCATCTCCCCAAATTCCTCATGCTCCTCTTTCCCCATATTCATCACCCCATCTCTGCTCCTCTCCTGGGCCCAACTCTACCTCATCTCCATCCTCCTCTCACCCCAAGTCCCTTTCTTCCTCCACACCTCATGCCCCTTTACCCTTGGGAGCCCCATAGAGACTCCTGGCATGAAGTCAGGTAGTGAAGAATCTGCCGACCTGACCCCAGGATCCCGGCCCCCTCCCTGCTCTGCTCTTGGCCCAGGTACTCAAGCCGCAGTTTCTTTCAGGGCTTCATGGGTGTCCAAACCCTCTCTCTGGGAAATAGGAAAGAAAGAAGTAAAGGAGTGCTTCTGCCCTGACCCTTCCTTTATCATCAACCCCCTGGCACCCCCCTTCCCTCTTCACCCCCAGATTACCCCCCACCCCCACTCCTTCGAGCACAGATGGGCCTGGGAGACAGTGACGTGGGCGCCAGGCACCATGTCTGCTCGAGCGGCGGCTTCCGCCGGCGACCGCCTCCGCATCCCCGCCTGCTCCCTGCATCGGGGACACTGGGGCTGAGATCTAATGACTTAATGGGGAGTGGGGGAGACTAGAGAGTCTGAGGGTGTTAAGGAAGGGGATCATGGGGAGAGAGATGAAAGATTAAAGGGAAGAGCTAGGATGGGGAGATCAGGGGTGTCGAGAAAGGACCAAGAATGGGACAAGACAGATCATTGGGGGAAGACAGGAGACCCTCGAGGGCCAAGTAGGAAAGGGCTAAAACACAGGCACTCAAGGGGGAAGCAGGATGAGAGACTGATTAGAAAGGGGACTGAAATGGGGACCGCGGAGTCGCTGAGGAGGGGCGCGAGGATGAGGGGCTGTACAGAGGGTGGGCGGGAGAGACTCCTGGAGGCACCGGCCTGCGCGCAGAGCTACCCGCTTCCCTCAGGGGAGAGGTCCGGAGGGATCGGAAACCCGGGTCCGTAGAGTCTGTTAGAGATTCCGTTAGGTCATGTCAGGCCACCGCGGGGTCAGGGTAAGGTAAAGCTAAATGAGGTCAGCTCGAGGTGGCTTCACCGTTGGCTGGAAGGCGAGTAAGGGCTGACCTTTTGGCCCTGGTCCAGGGACTACACCTCCCAGAGTGCACTGTTCTCTCCCCCTGTCCCCCAATTAAGGAAAAAAAGAATGCACGGCCAACTGGTGGGTGCAGTTTTCCTTTAAGGCTGCCTTTGACGTCGCACTGGTTCCAGAAGGTTCTCCTGGGATTCGAGCAGTGGCCAGTACGTCCCACCTTCTCAACTCGGAGATTGGACTAATATAGTTGCCTCGGGCTCGGGTCTGAGTCTCAAGCATGAACCAATAAAATCAAAGGGCGAGTGGGGTTGCCGCCCTCTGTCTTTTTCACCAATGGCACGACGAAATGGCAAAGAGGCGTGGTTGAGTGATCCTAGAGGGCGCCAATCAGATCCACACCAATCCCTGCTTGGAATGTGTGCGCGTGTGGCCGGGTGACAGGGGCGGAGGATGGGCGGTTATCACCAAGCCGCTCGTTGAAAGCTGCCCAATCACAGCAGAGGCTGAGTTGAGTGACGGGCAGAAGGCTCAATGGGCGGCGCGGAGGCGGAGCCGTGGGGGGTGCGGGCTCCCGGTCCCGCTGTCGGCGGCCGGCGGGCAGGCGACTCCTGTCCCGGGTGGAGGCGGCTGAGCCGGAGCCGGGGGAGGGGGCAGCGACTGTCTCACGGACCACGGCAGCGCCCGCAGCTCCTCACCGGTGAGGGCGCCGAGCCAGGACTCGGGGGTCCCGGGAGTGGGCCGTCGCGAAGCCAGGGCTCCTGGTATCGGGGGAGGAGGGGTTGGGACACTGAGGGCCCGTAGGCTCTGCTGCCCTGTGGGTGCTGGGCCCCGGGGTCTGCAGGGTGTTCGGAGTCCGCGACCCGAGCTTGGCTGTCACCCGGGGCAGCCAGCGTCTGAGCCGGGGGAGGGGAGCGGAGGGTCGGGTCGGACCGGATTGGGTTCTGTGGGGCGGAGGCGTCTGTGAGCAGGCCAGCCAGCCAGCGCGGGTGACATCACCGACCACCCTCCCCCGCCCGAGCCCCCTCCCCTCCTCTCCGCGCCGCGCCTTTTGTCCCGGCCGAGCTTCGCTCTGCCCCGCCCAACCGCGAGGGAGGAGACTCCCGTCAGTGACTTCATTGAGTAGGTTCTTGGGGATTGGGGTCGGGTCCTCCCCAGCGAGAGGCGACAGGAGCTCACTGCCTCTCGGGCCCTCACAATCACACCTGTCACAGGTACACACACTGCCACTCACAAACACGCTTGCACTGCCAGCCTCACTGTCACACTGCCATACAGCCGCTCACAGCCAGTCAGACACTGCTGCACCTGAGAGCAGGTGGCCGTGGGTCCTCTCCCTTCACTCTCCACACCTGGGGATCAGGTCCGGCACCTGCTGCGCCAGACAGCCCTTGCTGGGCACGCGCCTCTGAGAGTCCGAGGAGGTGGCTTCCAGAGCTGCAGCACTCCAAGCCGGCTCCGTGGAGCGATCAGAGGTGAGGGGCTTGGCTGGGCATGTTTAAGCGCACAGTGCTCTCCTGCCCACCCCCAGCAGCACCCCCACTACAGGCCCGAGGAGCTTTCCGGAGCTTCCCACACTCCTGGGGAGAAGACTTCTTAGCCAGCTTGATGTTTAAAATTCAGCTGGAGCCCTTAAAACTTCGAGCGTGGACGCTGAATGGGTTTGTAAAGTTTCGGTAAGTCCCTCCGGAGAAGGGCACTCATACCCATACCCAGTCAAACCCTTCACGTGGCCATCCCCTCCATTGCCTTCCTGCTTCCTCCACCTCATCCTCATCCCCTCCATGACATGCAGGAAGCCCCCTCCTGCCTCATTCTCATATCTGAATGAATTGCACCCCTTACCATTCCTCTCCTATCTCAAACCCTTTGGGCATCCATTTTCCACAGACATTTCCTCCAATATTTCAACTCTCTACACATTCCTCCCTTTCAACCCATCATTAACCTGTTTTCCACCTCAGCCATTTCCGTCACTCATCCCCCTCCATCAGTACCTCATTTTCTGTATCAGCCATCTCCCCTCCCTGTACCTCAACAGTCCCCCTCACCATTTTCTCCCCATCTTTCCTTCCTGCCTCTACCTTAACATCCTCCTCATTCTTCTCCATCAAAGGCAGTGCCATGCCATGGGGCTCCTTTGTCATTCCAACACGTGGCCTGTGGGTAGGGGGGAAGGGAAGGAGGGAGGAAAGCAGAAGGAGAAAAAGGAGGCAGATCTGAAAGAGCTTGCCCTGTGTCTGTGGAGGCAAGAGATGTATGGGCCTAGAGCAGCTAGCAGGGGGGTACCAGGGAGGAAGCTGGCTGGGTGTGGAGGTAATGCAGGGACAGCAAAAGGAGGTGGGTGGTTGGTGAGCTGTCCCACTGGCCCTCTGCCTGGAAGCTGCTCTAGTTCTCTGGGGGCACCCTCTTGGTGTGCTAGGGTTCCTTCCCGGTCCCAGGGGAAAGAAGGTGTGGGCTGAGGCAGAAATGGCAGACCACCCCCAGCTCCCTCTCAGATGGGTTTTGCTGCCATTTCTGAAAATGGCTGCCCCCTCCAGGTGCTCTTTCTTCTCTGCCTCCCCCAACCCCCATCTCCCCCACAGACGTGACATGCTGGTGGGGGGCGATGGGGAGTACCCGCCTGTGTGGAGTCTTTTCTTCGTCAGAGAAAGGTGACTCCCAGAACCATGAGTCAACCCAGCCACCTGCAGCAGGCCCTGTGGGGGCAGCAGTGAGGGCCACTGTCCCTGCCCACCTAGGGCCTCAAGTGCCTCCCCCTTACCCGGTTGCAGCCCTCACTCCTGCCAGGATACCCTATACATTTCCCTGCTGTGAAGCAGTCAGAGGCAGAAAAGCAGGCCTCAGCTGGGGCTGCCAGCCTAGGGCATTGCTAGAAAGACTGGTTCTTCTGACCTTGGTGGGGGTTGGCCGGGTCTCAGAATGGTGAGAATGGCTTCTGGCCATTCCTCTAGAGAGCTCTAGCTACAGGAAAGTCCCCCTTCCCCGATATCTACCACAGATACACCGATGGAGGAAGACTGGAATGGAAGAATTCGGGTTGTGCGTTTCTCTTATAACAAATACTCCTGCACCCACCTTAAAAGGGACCGTCAGAGGAATATGGGACTGACGCTGGACCCGATCCTAAACCACAGGGGTGGACTGGGTGGGGGGGGGCTAGGAATGGTGTTAAGGAAATGGTGGTTGGTTAGTGCCCAATTGTATCCTAACCACTGGGGTTTAAAAAGTCCTGTCCCCAGGAAGCTTTTGTTCACTCACAATGGTGCTTAGGCAGCACAACCCTCAAAGTTTTGTGTGTAGACACTGGGAAATGAGTAAAGGGAACTGTTGCCCCGGTTGGGGGAAGGGCAGTATCTCCCCCATCCCCTCACTTCCCCCCACCCCCCTACCCACCCACCCCCCCCCCACCACTAATGAGGGAGTTGGAAACAGCAGTTTCCAAAGGCTGTGAGTCACCCGGTGATCTGAGTCACACGTGAGCCTAGAGCATCATCAGAGGGCGGGGGCAGGGAGGCCTGGGGTCTCCAATGGCAGAGAAGACTCCAGACACCCATTCCCTGACTCAGTCTGGCTGGCCAGGACAGCTGGCAGAAGATCCAGGCCTGTTCCCAGTCCTGGGCCACTGCCCCAGCTGCCCTCAACCTGGCGTCATGCCTGAGGCGTGGCGCAGGAGACCACGATGCTCAGGTGACCTCACCCGTTACACTGACCTTCGCCAGCTCCTGTGCGTGGGTTGCTCAGTCCATGGTGCCACCTCACTCAGCAGGGCCTCTCAGGGGTCCTCAGTCTGGCCCAAGGATCAGGGCCTCAGCCTAGCCCCAAGAAGTGGGCCACAACCTTCAGCTTCCTGCTGGGAAAACCCAGGAGGTGAGGACGGAAGCACAGAATCCTAGAATGTCAGAGCTGGAAGAGATCATCTAGTCCAAATCTTTCATTTTACAGATGGGGGACACAGGCCCACAGAACAGGCATGACCTGCTGAAGGTTACCCAGGGAGTCATTTAGGGATTGCAAGATCATTAGGAACAGGGCTGGGGCAGAAGAGAAGAAGGCATCAAGTCTTGGCCCTGGGTTTCTTTCAGAAACAAGGAGACCAGTGCTGGTCCAGTGGCTGTGATGGGAAAAGATTATTACAAGATTCTTGGGATCCCATCGGGGGCCAATGAGGATGAGATCAAGAAAGCCTATCGGAAGATGGCCTTGAAGTATCACCCAGACAAGAATAAAGAACCCAATGCTGAGGAGAAGTTTAAGGAGATTGCGGAGGCCTATGATGTACTGAGTGACCCCAAGAAACGAGGCCTGTATGACCAGTATGGGGAGGAAGGTAAGAGGGCAGCACTCTAGCCCAATCCTGGACCCCTGTGCTTGGTGGGGGTCCTGGGTGCACCAGTTTTTGTAGCAGGGAACTGGAGGCTGTGGAGGGGGTGAGGGCGGCGAGGGTTTCTAGCACTGCTACCCAGAGGAAATAGGAGCCCACCCACTACCCAGCTTAGCTCACCGTAGTTCTCCCTGCCTCTCTGCCCTTCTCCTTCCTCAGGTTCAGGCCTTAGAGAGGTCTGAAACAACAGCCAGGGGCCTTTCCTGCCCTTCTTTCCTTTCCAGCCTTATTAGTCCTGCCTGAAGTCTCTGCTGCTTCATTGGCTGATGGAGAAGGTTGGAGAGAGGGAGTGTGTGGCTCTCTGAGGACAGAGCATTTACATTCATCAGCATAAAAGTCTGGCCTCTAAACAGCCTGGGAATTAACTACCAGAGCTCTGAGCAGAAATGGTTGTCCCCTTCCCTCCCCCGGCCCTGCCTGCTTCTTGCCAGCAGAACAGAGGTGGAGCTTTGCGTCCCAGAGGAAGTGGCAAGGATCCAAGGGTGGAAAGGGAACCGTGGCTGGCATCTGACCCCCTCCCTGGGGTAGCTGGTGGCCACAGTGTAGGAGGCAGGAAAGGCCCAAATAAAGCCTCTGAGAGGGAGGCCCCTCCCAGCACATCCCACGGCCATGATGTAGCTGCTAATTCTGGGCCTGCCCGTCAGGGCTGCCTGCTACCCGCCAGCCACAGGCACCTGTCAGGCTATATTAAGAGACATTGTCACAGCTGAGGACTCTCCTTCCTAGGAAGAACTGTCCTTCCTCCCCAACAGTATCCACCTTTTTTTCACATTGTCCTCCTCTTCACCCTCCCCATCTATCCTCAAAACTGAATGGGCTAATCATATGTAGATAAGAAGGTTATTTTCTTCCCCTCTGCCTGGCCTTGGGCTCCATGTCCCTCTGTGCACTCTTGTCCTCCCAACTCCCTCTTCCTATTCGCCATGCTGCTGGTTCCTTCCATTCTTCCTGCTTACCTCCCAGACGTGCCAACTCCCAGATTTACCAGATACTAGCTGGAATCCCCCATATTCTCCAAGCTAAGACATTTTTCTCTCTGGCATGGAGGGATGGGAGGGATAGGAGTGGGAAAAGGGGAAGCAGTGCAGACACCATGCCACCATGTGACCTGTCTTGGAATTGCACTCATTTCTCCGTTCAGCCTCACCTTTGTTTAGAAAGAAGGCAGTTGCTGGGAAAGCTCCCCTGAGGTACCTCACCCCTTCTGCCTAAGTGAAGGGGTTGAGACACCAGGTTCTGATGCAGAGCCCCATCCCAGGGGGGCCTCTGAGGATGTGGCATGGCCTTAAGGGTACCTCCATGACCTGGGGAAGGAGAAGCAGCTTTAGAAATGTTGGTTACATTTCTGTCCACCCTGCCCAATCCCCAGTAGCCATCTATTATAAAGCAGTTATATACACAGACTCTGTGTACAGCTCTGGCTAGGGACAAATTGCTCCCAGCTTGAAAAGGGGGTGGGAGTGGGAGAGCAGGAATCCCTATAGAGAGAATTACCTCTTCCCGTCATCGTCGGTCCAGCCTCCCTCCCTCTGTCACCAGCTCTGCCAGGCTGCTTGAATTTGCTTGATAATCAGCCCTTGATAGAAGGAAAGAAGAGATCCTAGGTCTTGGGGGAGGGGTGAAGAGGCAGCTGCCACAAGTCCCTGAACTGTCTGCCACTTGGCCTCTCTAGTGAAATTCAAACCTGCCCTTGTCGTCCCAGGAAATAAGAGGCTAAATTAGGCTCAGATCTTCATGATCAGTTAAAATTCTAGATAAATGGCCTCAAAGAGAACGGTCTCTTTCCTAGTCTGGGCCTCACCCATAGTCTATGTATTCCGGAGCAGTTCTCAGTGTGAACCCTCTTCCCACATCCCCCACTACCGCCAGCACCCCCTCCTCCGCATGAAGGCTGCTCCAGGAATCTGAGTCCCTTAGACAAGACCCTACAGAGAGAGCAGCTAAGGTCACCACCTGCCATGTGCCAGCCCATTCATGCATTTTGGTTGCTCAACATTAGGTGTGGGGTATGGCGTTCACTGTTGTATAACTCCAGGGAGCTCTGTTCCCATTGTAGTCTATGTCTGTACAATGTGTGAATGACACTCCCTAAAGTTGTGTAACACTGAGCAGAGTGTGGGAACAAAGCATTTGAAAACTTTTTCTAGAAAAATAGCTCTTCATCTCCAAGCTAATGAGCTTTCCTGCTTTTTGAGACCTCCTGATTTCCCATTTGAGCAGGAGTCAAGGAAAGAGGAAACATTGTTAGAAACAGAGTGGAAGTGGTCTTCCTCCTGGGTGACTGTTCACTTACCAGCCCCCTCTGTGGTCACATCCTGTCTGATTACCCCTTGTCCTGTATGTCTTTGGAAATAAGCAAAGATTTGGGAACCAGGTATGACTTGTAATGTCATACCAGGCTATTCATTCAAGGCTGTGTGAGACATCTTTGGACCATGAGTATGTTGAAAAGATCACAGGCCTGGAAGTCACAGTCTCTAAGCCCTGTAGTCCTGGCTTTTCCACCTATTGGGTAAGCCAGCCTCTTTGAATCTCCAGTTGTGCATCGTTATTAAATATATAATCAGGAGTGGAAAATAATCTTGCCAGAAGCCTTTCTTACTCTATAAGCCTGGCCCTCTCTGTGGGATTTAAAGGTTGCTTCTCTCTCCAGGCCTGTGAACAGGGAGCTAGCAGGCAGGGGGAAGATACTGGGGTGGGGCCAAGATGAGCCACACTGCTCCTAACTTCTCCTCCCCTCTAGGCCTGAAGACCGGCGGCGGTACATCAGGTGGCTCCAGTGGCTCCTTTCACTACACCTTTCATGGGGACCCCCATGCCACCTTTGCCTCCTTCTTTGGTGGCTCCAACCCCTTCGATATCTTCTTTGCCAGCAGCCGCTCCACTCGGCCCTTCAGTGGCTTTGATCCAGATGACATGGATGTGGATGAAGACGAGGACCCATTTGGCGCCTTTGGCCGTTTTGGCTTCAATGGGCTGAGTAGGGGTCCAAGGCGAGCCCCAGAACCACTGTACCCTCGGCGCAAGGTGCAGGACCCCCCAGTGGTGCACGAGCTGCGGGTGTCCCTGGAGGAGATTTACCATGGCTCGACCAAGCGCATGAAGATCACGAGGCGGCGCCTCAACCCTGATGGGCGAACTGTGCGCACCGAGGACAAGATACTGCACATTGTCATCAAGCGCGGCTGGAAGGAAGGCACCAAGATCACCTTCCCCAAAGAGGGCGACGCCACGCCTGACAACATCCCTGCTGACATTGTCTTTGTGCTCAAAGACAAGCCCCATGCACACTTCCGCCGAGATGGCACCAACGTGCTCTACAGTGCCCTGATCAGCCTTAAGGAGGTGGGGCCTAGTTAGCTGTGTGTGCCTGCTGGGAAGATTCCCTCTCTTCCCGCCAGCTGGCACATTCTTTCCTCACTTCAATCTATTTCCTCCCTTCCCACTCACCTTACCCCACCTTTTCCTCACTTTCTGCTTCATCTTCCCCAGGCGCTGTGTGGCTGCACTGTGAACATTCCCACCATCGACGGCCGAGTGATCCCTTTGCCCTGCAATGATGTCATCAAGCCAGGCACCGTGAAGAGACTCCGTGGGGAGGGCCTTCCCTTCCCCAAAGTGCCCACTCAGCGGGGAGACCTCATTGTTGAGTTCAAAGTTCGCTTCCCAGACAGATTAACACCGCAGACGAGACAGATCCTTAAGCAGCACCTACCCTGTTCCTAGGCTCTGCCCCAGCCAGTCCAGAGCCTACCACAGCAATACCCCCAACACTCGCCCCACTCAATGTGCACCCAGCTTGATGTCCACTGGACACTGGCAACTTTTTCTAAAATGCAAAAAAAAGCCACTGGTTTTCAGGAAAATGTTCCTGTCCCTGACCCCTTTCAGAGCTGGGCTGCCTGGGGGGAGTGGGAGGGAGGTGGGGAAAGCTAGCCCAGGCCAGGGGTCAATGTTCATGTCACTAGCTTTGAATCCAGTTTCCACTGCAGTGGCTGGAAAGTGACCTGAGTGCTACTTGAAGATATGTAGAGATTCCTTATCCATGCCTGTACATAGCATGTCCTCCTCCCCTCTCAGCTTTGCTAATACCAGTCCCCTCCCTTCCCTTTGGCTTCCTGCTGTTGGGGGCAGAAGAGAATAGAAAGGACATTGCTTTCTCAGCCCCACCCCCAGGTCCACAGTGTCCAAGGTTATGACACACATATTCATGTACATGAAGCACTCGCCTAGAGCTGTCTGTGCCTCTCTAGGAGAGAGGAGAGGAGATAAGAAAGGAAGGTCCATAACCTGTGAGCAGGGACTTGAGCACGAGACACTTTTCATCCTGAGCAGGGGGGTGAGCCGGCCTCAGCAGCCTCTGCAACAGCTGCCCTGCCTATACCCACAGAGCTGGAGGTTCTATCCTCCCTGCTGCTCTCAGGAGTGTACAAGGGTGGAAGGCAGGGAATAGGGCCTGAGGTATTAAGGCTAAGAGGTGGGGGGCAGGGCCCATCTCCCAGCCTTCATCAGGAAGGGAAAGAGCTTTGGGGTCAGGTGGCAGCTATTCCCCACCAAGAGATTCAGGGTCACAGGTTTCTCCCCATACCTCTGAACTCAGGGCCTAGCCACCCCCAAACTTCCAAATCCCACTTTTGTGATATGTGAAGCTACTTATTTCTTACCCTTAGAGGCTATGTGGGGAATTCCCAGCCCTTTTATGCCTGTGTGACCCCACCCCATTCCCACAGTTGTATAAAGGTCATAGTGAAGGAGCTTCGGGGAGACTGCTTTGGCCAGATCCTGGGGTGGGGTCTTTAGGTTTTCTCACTTTGACAAGCCCCTGAATGTTTTTATAGTAGTTTTTTTGTATTTTTTTGTAATGACAGTATTATGTAAAAAATAAAGTATTTTAAAAATATGGCATCTGAGCAGAAGCGACATACCTGGGATGGGGGTGGGTGACCAGGGCCACTGTCAACCTCCCTCCTGGGCCCTGGTCATCTTTGAGAAGCCCAAGCAGGCCCTCAGTATAAGCTGAAGCTGATCCCTTCCTGTAAGCCTCCTGGGGCTTCTAAAACATAATATTCCGAACACAGCACAGACAGAAAGTACCACTCAGCTATTAGAAAAAAAACATCTATTTGGGAAGAAAAAATAGATCGGCTAGCTAGTGTGAAAACAAATAGATTTTCTCTTCTTGTCTAAATTTTATCTGAGTCAGATAAATTTTCCTTCTAGGAGAGGACGGAGGACTTTTTTTTTTTTTTTTTTTTTTTTTTTTTAAGACAGAGTCTTCTCTGTCACCCAGGCTGGAGTGCAGTGATGCGATCTTCGTTCACTGCAGCCTCTGTTTCCTGGGTTCAAGCAATTCTCCTGCCTCAGCCTCCTGAATAGCTGGGATTACAAGCATGTACCACCACACCTGGCTCATTTTTGTATTTTTGGTAGAGACGGGGTTTCACCATGCTGGCCAGGCTGGTCTCGAATTCTTGACCTCAAGTGATCTGCCTGCCTTGGCATCCCAAAGTGCTGGGATTACAAGCGTGAGCCACTGCTCCTGACAAGGATGAAGGACTTTCTGGCTGACTAGAAGAGACACATCCCCAAACACAGAGCCTGGACATTGGAGAGGGTAGCCAAAGGTACCTGGTCTCCTTGGCCCATGTTGGTGGGGTCTGGCAGTGGACACAGGCTCCCTGGGAAGCATTAAACACAGCTGCAAATCCTCAAATCTCACAGTTATGTGGGGATGTCTGTTCTGGCCTCTGACCTGCCTGTGTCTGCTGTGACATCTCTGGCCCTCAGGACCTGAGTGGTAGCTGCATGAGGGGGTACTTGTCCCTTTCCTAAGATCTGGGTAGGAAGAAGCCCTATAGTTGCAGAAATACCCATCTGCAGGTTCTGCGTGGTCCTGTATGTCCTCCTGGGCTGACTTTCCTCTGAGCATGAAGCCCACATCTTCTCCAGAATCCGGCCAGTGACAGTCATGCCCTCCTGAGTGCCAGTGTCCCCAGTACTATATCCAGACAGACGACACTAACTGGCTTTTTTCCCAGAACAAAGACACTGAAGAAAAGCTCCTCATCCTTTCACCTGAGGTACTTCTGTACCTTCTTCAAAAGGAGGAAATGTACAGAAACCAGGGGGTCTTGCTCACAATGGTATGTAATGCCCTGGCCTGGGCAGGGAGACACCCCCACCCTAATCTCCTACTCAATGCTCTCCTCCTTTTGGATTCCTAAGGCAGCCTCTCTCTTGACTTGTGGCTAAATTCTTGTCCAGGATCTTTCCTGAGGCCGGAAGATTTGGGATTCTGGTCCACTGGACCAGACTGCTCACTCTGGCCTCTATGTAGACACACAAGACCTGGGAAATTACCATGCCCTGCTGAGCACACTCTGGGGTTAAGGTTTTTCTTTTTTTTTTGAGATGGAGTTTCACTCTTGTCACCCAGGCTGGAGTACAATGGCACAATCTCAGCTCACTGCAATCTCCATCTCCCAGGTTCAAGCATTTTCCCACCTCAGCCTCCTGAGTAGCTGGGATTACTGGCATGCACCATCACACCTGGCTAATTTTTGTATTTTTTAGTTAGTAGAGACAGGTTTTCACCATGTTGGGCAGGCTGGTCTCGAACTCCTGATCTCAGGTAATCCGACTGCCTCAGCCTCCCAAAGTGCTGGGATTATAGGTGTGAGCCACCATGCCCAGCTGGGGAGAGGATTTTGAGAGCCTAGAAGTGAGGCATCTGAGACAAAACACATTTCAGTGGGAAAGTCCTCAGGCTGACTGCAACCTTACTGCAATTTGAACCTTACCCTTCTTAGAGGCTATGTGAGGGATTTATGCTATTGTAATGCCTGTGTAACCACCCCTAGAGACACGCAGGCCTGCCTGCATGCACAGAGTTGTAGAAAAGTCAAGATAGTAAAAGAGCTGTAGGAGAGATTGGTTCAATTTGGTTCTGAGGGAGTGGGGTCTTTATTGGGTTTTCTTACATTGATAAGCCCCTGAATGCTTTTATAGTAGAGGAGTGTGTGTGTGTGTGTTTAATTTTGTAATGACAGTACTAAAATAATCATTTGCTTATCTTGTATGACAGTAATATACTCCTTAAGGTTTGGCCATCCTGGATCTTGGGCAACCAGCATTCTTGGTTGGGGAGCTCTTAAAGTCACTGGAGCCCCTTTACTACTCAGATAGGCATTTACCTCCTGGACATCTTCCCACTGTGGCTTAAGGAGCTGAAGTCTCCTTGGACTTCCTACCTCTCTGACCTCTTTGGCTCTTAAAGAAATACCTAATCTCCAATATCCTTTCCCTAAAGAAAAAACTCCAAGAAGATGCTATGCTCTGTGGTGAGCCCCTTCTGCCTCCAGGCACTGCTCCTCTATGGCCAGAGTCTGTTGGGACACAGTCCGTTTTCATCTGTTGGGTATGTCCTGCCATTGTCTGACTTGTAGTGACTCTGGACTGCCTCTCTTGGCCCCCAAATAGTCTCACTCTGACATGACTTGTCCATGGAGAGGGTAAGAGAAGCTAAAAAGTTTGTCTGCTCTCTTCATTGAACTCAGGGTCCTTTCGACTTCCTTGCTCACAGTTGAGGAGGCAGGGAAAGGACTCTCCAGAGTGCGGGCTGAATTTTCTGTGATAAGCTTATCTCCTGATCTACCTGTTTCTTTCAAGGAGCTAAGCAACCTCAATTTAGCCATCACTGAAACTTGGGTGGCTGAGGGGTAAAGGTGGACTTGGGAAAGGAGCCATGATTGGGTCTCTATCACCTTAAGTTTTATGGATTGAGAGACTTTAAGAGGTAAGCCCTATCTCTGCCACACTCAAAACCATACCACCTGGGCTTCTAGTGCCCGTAGCACCTGCATCAAGAAAGGAAAGCTTCCAAGAGGTATTTAGGCAGTTTTCCTGCACCAAGGGTGCCAAATTTCCAGTTTTCAAATAGGACTTCCCAGAGGGATCAATGTATCATTGTCAGCAAGCCATGAACAATACACATCTATAGGCCTTCTGCTCAAGTGAACTTTCAGGGTGTTTTCCAGTTGCTTCCACTTTCTCTCTTGAACACATTTACAAGTCATTTCCTGACCCACTCTGCATCGGCACCAAAAGCTCTTGGATCCTGTAGGCCAGGACCCACCAGTGCTACATGAGGCTCTTTCAAAAGTGGTGCTCTAGTTGGTTCCAAATATTGTTGGTTATAGGAAATTCTCTAGGAAGAATGGAAAACGGCACATAGTCCCAGGAGGCCAGGCTGTACTGAACAAAGTTGGGAGCTAGAAGACAAAATGATTCCTAAGATCTTTGAATTACAGAGAGTAAAAGCTAGAAGTTTTCAACAAATGTTGAGCTTCAATTGGAGTGAGAGACTACACCTCATTCTGGATCCTAGGAAAGGATACCCCAGAACCCTTAATCTGGGGTGAAGAAGAAAATAATAGCAGGAATGAAGATTGAAGGTGGACCCAAGGTAGGTGCTGGGATAAAACAGAGCTTGGGGCTGGGGGAGAGCGGGGAAACTTTAGCCTGTATATAAACTGAAAAGTGAAAGTGGGCATTAGATATTCTATTGACTAAAACAAAGAGAGACTCCAGTGCAAGATAATCACCAGAAACCAGGACAATAGCCACCAGGGCCTCACTGTGCAGAGGTGAGACTAGGAGAGATGGTTCAATCCCCCAAGATACTGGAATTTGGAAGCTGCTCAGGATGTGCAGCTGCTCCAGTTTGTCTTTTGTGTTCCACAGTGGTTGGGAGCCTATGTTGTCCTGTATGTCAGCAAGTGACTCTAAAATAGTTCCAGAAAAATATATGTATATATCCCTCCAACAAAGACTGGGAGACTCATTGGGTGCAATCATTTAATGAAACCTCTGTCCAGTCTTTGGCTAAGCTAGCCAAGCAGACACTTCAGTGGCCACACACAACAAAAAAAATACAGAATTTACAGAATTAGTTCAGTAGAGTCACTACACAAGCAAACAACAACAATGACAAATAGCAACAACAAAGCTTAGAGGGAGGGGAGAATCTGATTTCTAGAAATGCCACATTATATTATTCTAAATGCCTAGTTTTCAATAACCATAAGACATGCAAAGAAAAAAGAAAATGGCCTATATACACACATGAGGGGGGAAAAAGAAGCAATCAACAAAAAGTGACCCTGCGGAAGCCCAAATATTAGATTTACTAAAAAGAAAATGTCAGCTTTGAAAAAAACATTTTTTTTTTTTTCCAAAGAGAGGCAGGGTCTCACTATGTTGCCTAAGATGGTCTCAAACTTCTGGCTTCAAGCAATCCTCCCGCCTCAGGCTCCCAAAGTGCTAGGATTACAGGTGTGAGTCACTGTGCCCAGCTAAATCTACTATTTAAAATATGTTTTTTTAAAAAAAGAACAGAGAAAAATTATGTCTAGGCCAAGCACAGTGGCTTACTCTAAATCCTAGTGTTTTGGGAGGCTGAAGCTGGCGAATTGCTTGAGGCTAGGATTTCAAGACCAGCCTGGGCAACATGGCAAGAGCCCATCTCTACAAATAAAATGAAATAATCAGCAGGGAATGGTAGTACCTGCCTGTGGTCCCAGCTACACAGGAGCCTAAGGTGGGAAGACGGCTTGAGCCCAGGAGGTTGAGGCTGCAATGAGCCATATTCATACCACTGTGCTCTGGCCTAGATGACAAAGTGAGAACCTGTCACCAAAAGAAAAAGACTAAAAAATTTAAGAGAAGTGTGGCGCCGGGCGCGGTGGCTCAAGCCTGTAATCCCAGCACTTTGGGAGGCCGAGGCGGGTGGATCACGAGGTCGAGAGATCGAGACCATCCTGGTCAACATGGTGAAACCCCGTCTCTACTAAAAGTGCAAAAAATTAGCTGGGCATGGTGGCACGTGCCTGTAATCCCAGCTACTC